CAACAGACAGAAAAATTATTCTTATAAGACAGAATACTGAAGTTAGTAATTGCAAAGATTAATTTCCTTTTTCAGACAAGCATTTCCTCATACCAAAACAGTCCTCTGTTTTACTTAGTTTTATTGGAATCACAAGAGGAAGCGCATAACATCAAGCTGCTGAAGAAAGGATGACTTTTTAAAGTACCTATACTGCCTGGAGAGGAGAGAAAGGATCGGTCAAAAGGGCAGTGCTGCCAAGTCACTGACCTCTTTTGTGAGAGTCACAGCAGCAAAGAAAAATTTTAAAGGTCAGCTCAACTACAGAGAGTCTCAATGAAGACAGGTAAAAAGAAAAGAGCTAACCTGAAGCACTATGAGAATATCAAATCTCAAAACAGGTCTGCTACAGCCGTGAAGTAATAGCCTCTCCCACTTTCTGCACTAAAAAAAACTGGGTTTATTTCCCTAAATGGGCACTCGGTCTTCTTCAAACGCTACTTCATCAGAGGGATGTCTGCTATTAGAAACAGCATCGAGTCAACTCTGTGGGTGGAAGGGTAGAATTCAGCCCTACTATGAAGAGGTGTTTTGGTTCATAACCTGGTCATAAAGACTAATAAGCCCCTAAACAGTAATTTTCAGGCACTAAATCAATGAAAAAGAAAATACACCTCTTTGTTAGTATCCAATGATTCTACCAATGTCAGTATCCAATGATTCTACCAAAGAATCTTGGAGTTTCTGCCCATTTATAAGGTGAATTTCATTGAAAAACCACCACCACAGAATCTGTCAAAGTCCACAGAAAGGTGATTTTCCCCTTTTCCATTCACCAGTGATGAGGAAAAAAAAAAAAGCTGCTTCACAGTAAGAAGTCCCATCACTTAAGAGTTATAATACTGAAAAGTCGAATACTGATTCTGTAAACTTGGGGAAATTTTCTCAGAGTTGGAACCCCTCCCTCAGACTATTGACATTAAAGATAAAGCAAAACCAAAGCAACACTTAATGAGTCTAGAGTTTCTGCTCTCAAATTACCAACACTTTCTGATTACCTCCTTCAAAGGAATCATTCTCATCAACTTATCTGCGCAGAGAAACAATAGCCACATTGTTATGAGAAGCAATCACCGGGTTTACAACGGCAGCTTTCGCATGTCTTTGTGAGGAAAGCTTTCGGGGGTGATTTTGAGCCTTGCAATCAGTGGCCAAGAGCTGAGAAAGCAACTGAGAAAGCAACTGCAACACTTGCAGCAACATAGATTAGCTTCCTGTGAAGACAAAGCAACTTCTTGACCTCTGTCTCTTGATTCACCAACGTCAAATCACTTAAGCGCAGCAGGTGGTTTGTGATTACTCATGCCATGGGAAGAACTGAAAAATCTGGGAGACAAGCAGGACAATCTTACTGACACCTCAAGCATATCACTCCTGAAATCAGAGCCTAAGATCTAGAGGGAGACCAGCAAAATCAACTGCAGAAAACATCCTGCATTTTTAAAAAATAAGAAATGCAAAATTAAAGTTTTTCTTGTGCTATGCAAGTTACACGAGCAATTCTGATGAAGAAGATTCAAGTAAATCATCTTCGTAGCCTGAGGTGAGACAAAAATGCAATACTGCCTTTCTACATAAAAAAGATATCAGCATGCGTAACAGTCAGAGATCCAAAAAACTAAAAATAAGTCTTGTCATACCACAGCAAGAAAATGATTGACAAAACCAACAATATAACCAATGCTTGTCATAGGCTGACTCCAACACTTAGGCCCAACGCAAAGGTTTGCATTTTCACTTTCTAAAGAGAAAAAGACACATTTCTACCTACCTCTGGTTTGCTTCGCTCCATACAAATCTCCAACAAAAATATACTGAACACCAACTTTTTACACAGTTTACCTAAACTGTCACTCATACATTTCTCAGCATTTTAAATAAAGATTTCAATCTAAGCGTGACATGAGTAGAGGCATGCTTTCAGTGCAGCTCATTCAAAATAGTATTGATTTAGAATAAACTTAGCTTGTTCCAGTTTTCTCATATAAAAGAGAACATGCATATTAGTACAACTGACTTCTGAACAGCCAAGATTTCTGTTTCAGAGAATATTTCTACAAGACAGCTTACAGTTTAAGTTCTCTAAATTCACCGGAACATTTTCCCCATTTCCAGTACTTTCAACATTCCCCAAACTGGCTGTGTTTTTACTGAAAAGTTTCCTCTCTGGCTAAGCGACACCGAGGCACCAAAATCCCAAAGGAAGATCAGCTATTGCTCTGTCCCAGCCCAGTTGTTTTTCTGTGTTGTGCGCTGCTTCAAAAAGTTGTCCCTGTCATACATCAAACAAGATTAAGTAGCAGCAAATTACTGGCATAGTATAGCTCCAGATAGGCACTCATAAACTGCTCCATGTGTTTCAGGTCTTAAGTGTACTGTAACAGGAATGTAGTCTTGTCAGTTCTACTTTCTTTTTTCCACAGTTGTGAGCTCCTCAGATTTAAATTAAAAGGAATACATGAGATTTACTTAGAATAAAAACATTAACTATAACACATTAAAATCCATGACTGGTTTAGGAGGAGGAGGAAGAGATTGGGAAAACCCTTAAAAAAAACAAAACTAGTACACATTCTTAAAAAAGATACCTTGCAGACAGAACAAAAACAGGGAAAGATGTAGCCATGCAGTCCATGCAAAAGCAATCTTTAATCAACCCACCACTCTGAAGATGTTCAGCTAGGAGTGTGAGCATGGGGGGTAGGGGGGTGGGGGGAGGAGTCTGAAGAAAAAAAGCCCAAACCAAAATCTTGAATTAATGACACTACCTCAGTGACTGGTTGCCCCTGCGATGTCAAGTCCAGCTCCTGAGGTCTTGTCACCTTATCGATATCCAAGGAGTCCATGCTGGAAGCTGCAGAGGTTATGCTGGAACAGGAGGAGTTACTGATTGAGCGCACCTCGGCATCACTCACTGTGCCAGCAGATGCTGTCCTCCTGTGCTGAGCAGTAACTACTGGTTTGGTGTCTTCTGCAACAGACTGTTGGGCTGCCTCATCCATGCTCAAAGAAGCCTTCTCTAACTGTGCAGTGATGTCGTCCAAAGATACGTTGCCATGTGATAGTTTAGTCACCTTACCAGATGAGGAGGATAATCCTTTCATGGTGCTGTGCTTAGTAGAAGGTCGGCTAGCAGGTGGTTTCTGAGCTTTGGATTCTGTGGCAAGGCATTTCACTGCAGCATTGTTTGCTGAATGAGACCCAATGCTGCTGAGCTCCTGCTCTATGGAACAGAGATCAGCCATGAGGGCATCCAGATCCATAGTCTCCCCCTGATTCAGGGCTTCTGCAACAAACAAGAGTTTTCAGTATGTGCAGAGTTACTTCATTTGTCTGCGTAACTCTTCACTTTGTGTTATCAAATTTTACAGTTATTGTAAGGGAGCAAAGGAAGCTGTATTTTCTTTTCCGTATGTATTGCAAAATCTCTGCTTACTGCTAAGCAGAAATTTATTTGCACTACTACTCTTGACCAGTCTAAGAGCAACTAAAAAAAACCAATTATGTAGGTCAAATCCATTTGCTGACAGAAGAAACCTATTAATGCTCAGTTGCATTCTGAAAAGTTTAAACTGCTGTCCTGTGAACAGAATCTAAAAACACATTTGTATAATATCATGCCTCAATTTATAAAAGAAGTGTAGGTGTTTTGCTAAGCATTTTCTACTAAAGCAATGCAAGGTATGTAACACTGCTTTAAAAAACCCCACAAAACACTATACACATACTCAAGTCTTTAAATTTATGCTTCCTGTATTACAACCTGGGGAAGCTAATTTAAGACAAGGAAAAATATGATTTTTTGTTTAACATGAAAGCATTCTATAGCTATATTCCTGCATCCTGTCCCATGAAGCAAGATGCATTTTCTTCCCGTTTAACAGACATATGAATTCATTCTTTCATGAGATCAGATCCCAGAACGTGTCTTTCTGTACAAATGCTAGACTACAATTCTCAGATACTATGTGCTGCAAAACAATACTGCTTTATGACACTCGAAATTCCATGCCATCAAACCGCAATGCCTTCAGCAAACATGTCCTCATTTCAGTTAGAAGTGTATTTAAGTGTTCTTGTATTTTACAATGTGTTCATTTATAGCTGGAACAGGTTTTTTCCAAATAATAATAAACTAATACTTGAGGGGGTAAATAATTCAACAAACCATTTAAATTGTACATGGAGAAGCGATACGAGAAGTTGGCAAGATTGGTTTCCTGACGGAGAGGTGATCTCTTCACCGGTGCCACAGGCTTGTCTGTATCCAAACTCTGAAAAAGACAAAAAAAAGCAGCTTTTTTCAGGTTTTAGACTGAAAAAATACGTCACCATAACACAGAGATTTAGCTTCAGATATTCAGTGGAGAAAACATCTTAAACACATTCTGGGTTTTTTTAGAATCAAAAGGACCAAATCATATTCCAAATGCATTTTTAAGTGGTCTTACAATACTAGCTCATTCTGCAACACAGACAGCTGGCTTAATTGTAACAACTCCTCCACAGCAAATTACAAAAGTATCTAATGCATTCAAACTGTGTAACCCTCTCTAAGAAATGCATCATTAGCTTATGAGTGTAATCATGACATAAGCACACAAAAGCATTCAATGAAGAATTCTATTTTATTAAAAGAGATTTTAAATTGGCTAAATTCAGACATTTTTCTCAATAAAACTTTCTGTGAAAAATTTTGAAGTCTGAAAGCAAATCCCACCCAGTTTATGTAGGATAAATTTTTTTAGAAATAACTAAAATAGGTTTAAAAAAAAAGGAAAAGAGACAAGACATTTTTCTACCCAATAAATTGAATTTTTCTGTTACGAAGGCTAATATGGGCATATTATAATAAGTATCAGCTTTTTTGTAAGTAGCAAGCAGTAGGGCAGTATGATCCAGCTGGTGACCCAAGAGGTGCATGACAGCGTCTGGGGCTGCTGCCCCCGGAATGATAAGTATTATACGGGGAATCTAGCTCTTGCTGTCGCTGAGGCTTGGCAGGCATGTAGAGGGTTTGAATTTAAGCAATGCTTGTACTGATAAAGCTTTCCTGAAGATATGCTTCTCTGAAAGAAAAGCATCTTCTAGCTCCAACAGAACAAAATTTCTCACCTAAGGTTTTTACTTCCATTTTCTACACCTTTACCCAAGCCTTTGCTAAAATTCAAATGCACTATTCCCCCCCCACCCCCAATATTTATTTTTGCTGAACTTCCTTCCCTCCTCAATTTGGCTTGAATGCCAAAAAAAAAAAAAACAAAAAACAAAAAACAACACTTTAATAGAAAGTCAAACACCACTTAATGAGGAGAAGGCACTGATGCAGCTTTGTCTTCTGTCAGGTGGAAAAAACCTCACGTCTAGCACCTCTGATGGAGCATTGTCCCACACAGAATAGCTGAACATCCTCCCCTCCTCTCCCCCCCCCAATCTATCTATAACCCTACAGGCAGCAGTGAAACTGGAGACAGAAGAGGCAAGTTAGGGCTCATTCCTTCAGACTGAGCCTATAGACTGCCACAAAAGGCTTCTTGTAAAGCAAAAATATTCTGGTTAAAAGCATCTAAAATGTGTTACTGAGTTTCATAATCATTAGGTTATTTCACATCCTTGGAAACACATGTGATATCCCCTCACGATTATCAGAGCACATTCTCCATAAGACATTAGGACATCAAACTAGCAGTTTGGGGAACTGCTGAAAACTGCAACAGCACCAAACAGCTTAGTTCTGAATGACATGAGAAGCAAGGTAAGACTTTCTTCATTTGACTTGCACTATACAGCAGGATAACTACAACAGGATAAATGTTAATGCATTCTGCATCAGCACCAAACACTGCTCATGTGTGCTGCAAATTTTGTGACTACATTTTCTAATGCTTTTATTAGACCAACAGTTAAAGAGGGCAAAGGGAATTCAAATCATCTCATGGGCATCTTAACAATTACAAATCTTTTAAAGAGCACTTCCATCTGGAAAGGAATCTGGGTCTTACTTTCATTCCCCCCCAAAATGAACATTTAGGAGACCTAAAAAGGAAGTTAAAAGTTCCAGGAACTTAGGGACCAAAAACCTTTCCTCCTATCCAACTGACAAATAGCAACAAATGCTGAGACTACCGGAGAACGCATGTTGGAGCTCATTAGCTCTAATCACTCCCCTTTACTGGGACTTTATTGGGACAGCTGCATCAAGACATAATTATTTTCCAAACAAATGAACTGAGACATGACTAACTGTGTTAACTGTATGAAGTCATTCAAAGTTTTAGGGGAAATGTCATTTCCCAGTAGTGGCAAAAGACAGAAGGGCAACTGCCAGGCCATGTTGCAGACTGCATTGTTGTACAACAATATGACAGTGAGACACAAATAATGTGGACACTCCCCCTAACATCTGTTCGTAGGTTTTAAGAATTTTGTATGGATCAGCACACAAATTGAGACATCACCTAAAAATCTGTATGTCAATAATGTAGCTGTAAGCCCCAAGCAAAGTATGCTTATATCTCTAAGCTGCTCATACCTGAAAAAAACAAGGCAGCGAACAAAAGGTCTAAGACCAATTACCCATTGTGCTCCTCTGTGAAGATCTTCACTTGAGGTAATTTGCAGAGCCCATGCCTTCAAAAAGGCTCCCAATTACCACTAAAAATCCTTCACAGGAAGTTAAAAAAACAACAAGAATTACGATATACAGATTTATTTCACACTGTCTTCCATTCATCTCAAAAGGCAAGATTCTTTATTGCCCTGCATGCACAAGTTCAGGAAAAAAAAAATCATTTTCCCCTAGAGTGCTATCTACATGTAGATCTTGCAGGCAGAGATTTAACCAGAAGATAACAGAGATAAGCCTGAAATTTAAATGCTGTCACGTGATCGGGGAGAGCAGTGGATGTCGTCTAAATGTGGGCTAGATGAGTGGTCAGCGAGGTGGATAGAGAACTGGCTGAATGGCCGAGCTCAGAGGGCTGTGGTCAGCAGCGCAGAGTCTGGTTGGAGACCTGTAGCTCGTGGTGTTGCCTAGGGGTCAGCACTCAGCCCAGTCTTGTTCAACCTACTGATCAACGACCTGGCAGAAGGGACAGAGTGTATTCTCAGCAAGTTCGCTGATGACATCAAACTGGGAGGAGTGGTGGATACACCAGAAGGCTGTGCTGCCTGCCATTCAGTGAGACCTGGACAGGCTGGAGAGTTAGGCAGAGAGGAACCTGATGAAGTTCAACAAAGACAAGTGCAGGGTCCTGCACCTGGGGAGGAACAACCCCATGCACCAGTACAGGCTTGGGGCAGACCTGCTGGAGAGCAGCGAAAGATGAGGAGCTACTGGAGAGAGTCCAGAGGAGGGCTACGAGGATGATGAGGGGACTGGAGCATCTCTCCTACGAGGAAAGGCTGAGGGAGCTGGGCTTGTTCAGCCTGAAGAAGAGAAGGCTGAGAGGGACCTTATAAATGCTTCAGGGTGGGTGTTAAGAGGATGGGGCCAGACTCTTTTCAGTGGTGCCCAGTGACAGGACAAGGGCCAATGGGCACAAATTGAAGCATAGAAGTTCCATCTGAACATGAAGAAGAATTTCTTCACTCTGAGGGTGATAGAGCACTGAAATAGGTTGCCCAGATGGGCTGCGGAGTCTCCTTCTCTGGAGATACTCAAAACCTGCCTGGATGAGGTCCTGTGCAGCCTGCTGTAGGTGACCCTACTTTGGCAGGGGGGTTGGACTAGATGATCTCCAGAGGTCCCTTCCAACCCCTACCATTCTGTGATTAGCTCAATTTTCCTTCAGTCTTTGGGTAAGATGAAGATGAGAAAAGCTGCCTCTTCTCTAGCTTACTGAAACTTGAAGTATCATAGCTTTGCTTAAGTCTAAGTGACAGAGAGGGAGAAGATTAAACAGGTTATTCAGGAGACCCAACTCACACAGCTGAAAAACAACCATAGCAGGCAGTCACAGAGAAATGGCTTATCACCCCAGGAGTCTGGCATACCATGCAAAACACAAGATCTGCTTGTGAAGAAAAGGAAAAGCACTAGAAGGAAGGAAGTGAGAAATGTCCTATCAGCTGCCTCTGATGCAGGAAGAGTACACTGGAATAATGGTGAGTTCTCTAGAATGTATCAGGGCACCTCACCACGTCATCAGCAGCAACATTCACAATTTCTTGCTCCTTATTGCTGTTCAGGTGCAAGAAATAAGTGCTGTCATAGCTGCACAATGTCGAACCATATGTTTGGAGATACAGCCTACCTCTAGCCAGCTAAAGTCAGTGTTTCTCTATGTATGAGGACAAAATACCAATGTCATAGTTGTCAGAAGGAATCATACCCTTTGGGAAAGGTGAAACTCAAAGGCTGTGAAAAATGAATTTACTAACTTTGAGATGGGGAAAACAAGCCAATTTAGAAACTTTTAAAGAATACTGAGCTGGTCACGTGTTACAGTCTATCTTGCTGCAAGTGGACACGATAAGCAGTTGGCATCCAACTGAAAACAAACATGTAATAAAGAATTATTCTGTGAGATGGTCGAAACCTTCCTAACCTGTGTGAGTTTGTCCAGTTCCCCCAGCCAGGCCCCAAACATCTTGTCCAGATCCTGATCTTCCTTATCACTATCTTCTTCTGCACCATGGTCAAGTTCTTCATCTGATAATTGCTCCATCTGAAAAAAATAGAAGTTTGATACTCAAACTGTATCAGTATCTAAGAAAACCAGTGTCAGCTACTAAGTTTCTGAAAAAGTGTTCTGAAGTCAAAGCACATGTCTGTCCATAAGCTTTATAAAAACTGCATACATTCACAGTTTATTACCCTGCTCACAAGTAAAGAGTTAGTGTGAAAGCTGCAATGGATAATTACAAAGCCATTCTTGCAGCTCACTCTCGTCAGAACCATGCAGAAAAAGATAAAGAACAGAGTCCACAATATTTATTACACCATTAGGTATTATTTCATGGTAGCTTTGCACGTGCATTCATTACTAGCTATTGACAACAAAGTCTATTGACTTTACATTACACAATTCAACTCTTGTCCAAGGAATTCAGCTGACCATAGTTAAGCAACACCATTCAACCCACAGGAAGTGCAGTCTCACTGCACTCCAAATAGCTGACTCCACACATCTGTAAACAGAAATGCTTAAACAGGCCACAGAGAATGCCAGCAATACGTCCCATGAGACAGTTTAAATCTTGGACACTGTCCAGATGACTTCAGTGATACTGCACAATTTTTACCCAACAAAGAAACTTCTCCCTGGAAGCAAAGAGTCACCATTACAGCTATCAGACCCTCCTTCATTCAACAAATTTGAGTGACCAAGATAAACACTAAAGGTTCTCCAAAGGTTATCTGTTATCACCTCAAAGGAAATTAACTTTTTGTTAAACAAGCCTCTGTTCTCTTCCCCAAACAAGTCCTCCAAGCCCCTTATACGGAGGTAAGACATACATGCCTACCTTGGTACATCCACACTGTTAAACCCAGCATCTGGATCAGAAAGAGAACTTACAGACTTGGGGGGAAAACAACATAGGCAACAATTTGAGAGTGACTAGGCACTACAGAAGAATAAATCCCAGAGATACGCTATAGAACGTTCAGCGAAATGTGAGAACAGATCACCACCAAGAGCTACACAAAAAATTAACTGTGTGCTGTACAGCTTGATCTGGTTGAGCCATGGGTTACGTAACAATTTGCTACACAGCTTTCTGCAAGCACCAGTTTGAGTTTCGTAGATTTAAAAGCAAACTTGCTAAATGCTAGTCTTCAGAAAAAGACATCTTGGTCTGAAAGATGTTGCAGAGTTGAACTCATGAAAGATGTTACAAAAAATGATAAAGGTGATCTCGGAGAAAAACTGTTCAATCTGGTTTTGATTTTATATGACAACACTTTATGCAAAAAATCTCTATGATTTAAAAATAGCCTTTTGTTCTACTTATATATTGCTTATATTATACTTTGTCGCGAAAAAATAATCAGGTAATAAGAGACTTCAGGAGTGATATACAATTCTGAGGTCATTAGAAGCCAGTGCCTCCCACCAATGCAAGATACTGCCATCGAGGTGCTCCAGGCAAAGGTTCTTCAGTCTCCTACTGCGATTTTTACTTTTGTGGGAGAGCACAATGCTCACCTTAAAAGAGGCAGTAATATTAAAGCTAAACTGCCGTGGCATACTGCACCGAGCAATCATTGCACAGATTAAATTCATCATCTGAATCTCATTTCTTCCAACGCTGTTCTGAATCCTGTAAAGTACTTCCAGCACTCCAGGGAAGGGAAGGAAGCTCTTCCTAAAATTTGAAAGTGAAGCCGAAATCCAAAAAATGCCAATATGCTTATGTAATAGAGCTGCATCCTTCCACCAAGACCACACTGGTTTTTACATTCTGCAAGTCAAACACACATGCCTTTCCCTGCAAGATTCCTCTCCATGATGTCACCTGAAAGCCCTCCGACATACAGAAATGGAGACAGCAGGGTAGCAGCAACTCATACTCTACCTGAACTTCTGCAAAATAAACAGAAGCTGGATTCCACTTTCACACCCCTTCAAAGCTTTGCTTTACTACTCCTTAGGCTTTTACATGGACCAGAAATACTGTAAATTCAAGGCAAAACACACTATACTCACAGTGACATGGTCAGGCTGCTGTATCAGTGTTTGCATTTGACAACATAGCATTCCTCAATGTCTCCATACACTTGAAGACACTTCAATTTTTATTTGAAGGCTAAGGGAAGCTATTAAAAGCATGCCTTAGGAAATGTAACTATGAACTGGCAAATTAAATAAATAGAAACTGTGATATAAAACAGACAGAGCTCGGTATTTACAGATACTTCACACTGCTAGCCCTTCCCTCTTTGAGCTGTTTTGCCACTTTACAGTTAGACAGGATTTGTTTCGCAGTGCGTTCATTCTACGGCACTGTTCATAACATCCTTTCACTAAGAGAGAAGCTTGTTCTTTTTACTTGTATTTCTGAGGATCTAAGCTATGGAAAGAAAGCAGCATTCTCAATTTCCTATAAACTGTTGCTTCAGCTATTTTAACTTGGCATCAGAGACACTGCTTTAGTTCCAGTTATGCTGAAGACAGAATTAGCAGCCTAAAGAAAAATTTTACAAGTAAAGCACTGTTGTGTCAGTAAGTCTGGCACTAAACCCTGGAGCATTTGCCAGCTCCCTGCAGTCCCCACCCAAGCTTCCTAACGTCAGCTGCATTCCCTATGAGCCTGTCAACGTTTGCTTGCAAACGGCACACAGAGGATAGTGTCTCACTTCAGAAACGGCTAATATTAACTTGCTAGCTCTGTAAAAGCAATCTCTCTTAGCACAAGCTCCAATACTGGAAGAAGATATCCCAAAGGACATTAATTAAAGGATTAATTCAATAAATTAAGTCAGAGACAAAATGCTCAGATAACAGTTTCTGAACTTTTTGACATAAGAACTCCAAACAGGAACAACTAAAAAAGACGGCACGTTCTAATTAAAAAGCTTGAAATTTTCCTTTTTACAGCCGTTTTCTTTCTCAGTGTTGTTGATCACAGCAAATATGAACCATACTTTAGCAAATCATGACCTAACTAGGAGATATCACAACCTTTCCAGAGATATGACATTTTTATTTATAACAAGAAAGAAAAATGGCGTAAGTTTAAGGGGGGAGGGTTTGGTGGTTTTTGTGTATATTCTGTTTTGTTGGGTTTATTTTTTTTTTTTTAGAAGAAGTCATTTAGAACTAAATTAGATCTAAGAAATGGGAAAGGAGTAACTGTTCCAGTGTGACAACATGAAGTAAGCCACTTACATTCCTAACGCTTTTGCAGGCAGCAGAGTTTAAGTAGCTGTTGCTTCTGCTTAGCTCATACCAGGTGAAGTGCCAAAGTAATTTTAGGATTCAAGTTATTTTTCAACACTTCACATTCTATTCTGTTCAAGTGTATGTCAGAAGAGAACTTTACAAAAATGAGCAGCATCATTCTGGGATACCTAGATAAAACAGGGTACCAACACGGTATAGTCTTCCATACGCAAGTAAGGCTTCCTGCATGAAAGTGTGGTCTATGCACTATTTCATTATCCACTATGGACTGCAGTAGTCAACTTTATCTGTTTGAAATGCTATTTAAACAGGCAGACCCATAATCGCTGTAAGTCAACTGTCTAGTTTCCAGAACAGTTTATTAGGTTTGTTCACCATTAAGTGCATGAAGTATTTGAATACTGTTTTACAAAAAACTACCTAGGCTGTCATTAGAAGTCACCAGTCACAACATTTAATCGTAACCTACTATTTTAATTACACTGTGAGGAAAAAACCTTGCCAATAATTCAAAAAGAAAAAAGAAACATTTACTGTTTCAAGTTGATTCTTATGCAAGCCATTGTACCTTTTAGTAAGCCAGGACAAGCAAGAGATGATGTGGTATCAAAACACATAAGGAAACATGAAAAGCCCAAGAACAATGCTTAAAAAATACCATTTTCACATTTTAAAGAAAGGACACCATCGCAGAATTCTGAAACTAACAAACTGCTGTCATCAGAAAGTAACAGCTGATCTTTGGACAGAGGTGAGCTATAATCGAAAGTGTCTCTCACTGAGACCCCACTCTGCAGAATTGCACTTTGAGACTGTAGTTCCTATTTTAAACCAACCCAGTGCAAGACAACAGGAAATTTTATTATATTAACAATATTTCCTTGCAATGGAAACACTCAGTACTGAAAAAAAGGAGTTGTACAAGAATCAGACTGCAGGATTTGTCTACACCACACTTAAGTAACGATAGAAAGATTATCAGAGAAACAAAAATAGATTTCTGAGTCCAACTGCAAATGCCAATGTGCTTAAAGGGTCAGCAACAAGAATGTGTTTATTCACTATAATTTCAGAAGCACTGTAATAAGCATTTTGAACTAGAGTTGCTTAAGTATGTTCAAAGACAACCAACAGCATAAAACCCCAAAATGAAAACAAACTATCTCTTTCAGGCAACTGATGTTTCCACCCCCAACCTTTCCTACTGTTTAAACACAAGCTTGTACAAGCTCATGTTTGTTACTGAACTAAGGAGTCTCCTCTTAAAAACAACTATGGAATTTGTTAAAGATCTGTTATAGGGATGCAGCAGACAATACACAAACATTCAAAACACCATCAGAACAAGTAACTGGATTTCTGCATTTTAAAATCTAGCCTCGGGAACCAAAAGGAACTACATGGCATACTCTGGTTTGGAAAACATACTCTGTTTGGAAATCAGAGTTTTTCTTCTATTTGTGATCATCCACATGTCATCATGCCAGTATCCATTTCTGTTTAAGAAGCTGTATATGACAGAACACTACAGTAGTATACTGTACAAGCACACCAGCATAGTGTGCACACGTAAATACAGGAGTAAGATTCTAGCAGATTTTCACCTATAATACTTGTTCACCTGACTGCTTAAAGAAATAAGGTTACTTACACAGAAAAAAATTGAAATGCTTTCACAAAACTGACAGCCAAAGCTCACATCTACATTTCTACATATCTTGAATTTCTGGTAAACAACGAAAGGCAGTCTGAGCACATAAATTATTTGTTTCATATCAATACTCTGTCCACATGACAGGGACCAATCAAATCCAGCATGC